GATCTTCGTCCCTTCAAGGCTAGGCCTATACCATCCTAGCTAGTCTAGGCCTAGAGTACGATAAGGCTAGCGCGACATGCGGACGTTGGTACGAGTAGGTTAGTGTACGTCGCCTAAAGTAATTGATTTTACCCGGCAGAACGAAAGAAGGAAACTGCGCTTTTTAGTCGTCTTAGGCACTCGCTTTTTGACAAACAATGACCTTTCAGAGGTCAAATTGCTGTCAAGAATATGAATTGGCTGCTTCGCAGCAATTAGAACAACATACCAATGTAGTTGATAGTCTCAGACCGTACCGACAGTTGTATACCATCATTTTGTGTGTCAAGGACTCCATCGTCGGCTGCTTCCCGCAGATTTTCTTGGACGTTGGCGGCGGTGACATTTACATCCGAAAAGTAGAGCTTTATCTTTGCTACAATGCTTCCTTCACTAAATTCCAATACTTCGCAATCCACACAATTCGAGACAACAAAATATATCTTGGATTTAAAAAAAAAGACCACAAGTATTTGTTAAAAAATTATTTTCATTTCATCATACATTATTAACATAGACAGGAACAATTTACATATTTTCTAATTTACATTATATAATTTCAAATTTATGCAATGTTTGCTTATTATTATTACTATTATTACTATTATTATTATTATTATTATTATTATTATTATTATTATTATTATTATTATTATTAATAGTGTATCAAAATTAATTTTGTACAATGATACGCGCTTCAACAAATGTTTAAATAAGTTAATATTACGTTTGGTTCAAAAAGAATGTTACGAAAAAATAGAAACCTTTGCTGCTGTTTCGTAAAATTGAAATTACATGAAACGTAAATGAATTTAAGGTTAAGTCAGTTTATTTTTATATTTTATTGACATGTTATGACTGTATTCTTATTTATGATTACATACAAAGAGTTATGCAGACAAACAGTGGTGGCGCCAGGACGGAGATGGGGCTGATAATGTCAATTTTCCAAATGCGAGTATAAATAGACGGGGCCAAGGGCAGCTCACAACCCCTCAGAGGGTACCCAGAGATTTTTTCTTCTGCGACGAATTGTGTTTTTTCTTCCTGACGTGAAGCGCGATGTCTCAACGGAGGTTTTTCCCCTATTGAGTCGCCCATACTGGAGCCACCAATGCACCAAAAAACGTTAATCGCTTACCGCAGAACAAACGTAACCTTGGTATTCTTCGAAAAGTGCAGAAAATGGATCTAGTAAATCATTTGAAAATTCCACCTGTTCATCGTCTATTGCGGTAAACGCTAATGTCATTTTGAAGATGTTCAAAGCTGTGAATACAAAATATGCGACATTAATATATATATATATATATATATATATATATATATATTTATTATATTATAATTAAAAAGGAAGTAAATTAATACAAAATAATTTTAATAATCTATATAGGCCTATTTCTATAATATTTTGATATAAAATGTTTATATAATATATTGTGTTATTGTTTAAATACAGTATTTCAATTTGTTGGTAATTTGATCTAACCAAACAGTATAGAACTGCAAGAGACCCGACTATCGGGGTTTCGTTGGAACTTATTTCCTATTTTAAAAAGAATTATCACAAACTAGAGGGCGTCCTTCAAAAGATCGTACCTATTCACATTTTTCTTGGTAGTACCAGGAAAGTACTACTTTTTTAAAAAGTAAAGATTCTTATTAATCAGGGCTGCCACACCACTTGCAATTCTATACTAAACGTTACCTTATTTGAATGCATTTATTTTAGAATTGAATTAAATATAATACACGCATATTTATATATCACTAATCAAAAATGAATTGAGAAAATAATGAAGTATTTTGGTATAAACTGTTTGTTTTAAACTAAAATAATTAAACATTGTTAAATGGCTACTTACAGTATACATGTGTTGTTTCTTGAATATTTCCATTACTAGTATAGATGGTGTTTCCACTGTTGTCTTCATAAGTCTGGTTCGTTGTTTCAGACGATTGTGATAATTCAAGTTCTTGTGCTGTTGTCATATTTATATATGAGCCACTCGTTTTTATTTCCGTTCGTTGTGTAGTGTTTGCTGTTTTAGAAGTTGCATTTGTCTTTCCTGTTCTGTAAAGTGTTTTTACCTCTGTTGTCTCATCAATTGTTATATCAGATGTTAATCCAACTGTTCCCACCACATCAGTAACTGAATCAGTTGTAGATTTATGATCAATTGTTTTTACAACCGTTCTTTCAGTACCTGTAATTGAAACAGTAGCCATTTGGGGTTCAATAGCAGTTGTTTTTGCAGCAGTTGTTACCATTTTAGTGACTAAATCAGTCGTGGTTTTGGATCTATTATCAGTTGTCAATGAATCTTTCGTTACCACATCAGTTGTTATAGTGGTGTCGGTTGTTGTTTGCTCCTTTTCATTTGGTGGCACAACAGTCGTTACCATTTCAGTAACTAATTCAGTTGTAGTTTCAAGATTATTATCACTTGTCTTTGAAAATGTTGGTATGTCTGATGTAGTTTTGGGTTGATGATCAGTTGCCTTGGGTACCGTGGTTTTACTAGTAGTTACATCAATAGTGGTTTTTAATCTGTGTGCAACCGTTGTTACCTTATCAGTAATTAAGATGGTTGTGATTTCGGGTTCCTGATCAGTTGTTTTTGGTACTGTTATCATACTAGTAATTATATCAGCAGTGGTTTTTATTTCGTCATCAGTTGTCTGTGTAACCGTTGTTAACTTGTTAGTAATCAAGTTGGTTGTAGTTTCGCGTTCATGATTATTTGTCCTTAGTACCGTTGACTTATGAGTATTTAAACCAGTCGTGGTTTGTAATCCGTCATCAGATGTCTGTGCAACCGTTGTTACTTTACCAGTAACTAAGTTGGTTGTGGTTTCAGGTTCAAGATCAGTTGTCTTTGGTACCGTTGTCTCATCAGTAATTAAATCAGTCGTGGTTTCTAATTCGTCATCAGTTGTCGTTGCAACCGTAGTTAACTTAACAGTAACTGAGCTAGCTGTGGATTCAAGTTCTTGATCAGTTGTCGATGGTACCGTTGTCTCATCAGTAACTAAGTTGGTTGTAGCTTCGGGTAGTTGGCCAGCTATTGTAGGTACCGTTGTCTTATCAGTAATAGAATCAGTCGTGGATACTAATCCGTTATCAGTTATGGTACCTAAGCTGGTTGTGATTTCGGATTCCTGGTCAGTTGTCCTTGGTATCATTGTCTCATCAGTAATTAAATCAGTCGTGGTTTCTAAGCCGTCATCAGTTGTTTGTGCAACCGTTGTTAACCTATTAGTAACTAAGGTAGTTGTGGATTCAAGTTTATGATTAGTTGTCTTTGCTACCGATGTCACATCAGTAGCTAAGTTGGTTGTAGCTTGGGGTTCTTGAACAGCTGTTGTAGGTACCGTTGTCTTATCAGTAATTAAATCAGTCGTGGTTTTTAATTCGTCATTATTTGTCGTTCCAACCGTTGTTAACTTATCAGTAACTAAGCTAGTTGTGGATTCAAGTTCATGGTCAGTTGACTTTGGTACAGTTGTCTCATCATTAACTAAGTTGGTTGTAGTTTCGGGTTCATGACCAGCTGTTGTAGGTACCGTTGTCTTATCAGTACTTGAATCAGTCGTGGTTTCTAGTTTGTTTTCAGTTGTGCTACCTAAGCTGGTTGTGATTTCGGATTCCTGGTCAGTTGTCCTTGGTACCGTTGTCTCATCAGTAATTAAATCAGTCGTGGTTTCTAATCCTTCATCAGTTGTCTGTGTAAAGATCGTTACCTTACCAGTAACTAAGTTGGTTGTGGTTTTAGGTGCACGATCCGTTGTCCTGAGTACCGTTGTCTCATCAGTAATTATATCAGTCGTGGTTTCTAATCTTGAATCAGTTGTTTGTGCAACCGTTGTTACTTTATCAGTAGTTAAGGTAATGGTGGATTCGGGTTCCTGATCAGTTGTCTTTGGTACCATTGTCTCACCAGTAATTGAATCAGTCGTGGTTTCTAAACCGTTATCAGTTGTGCTACCTAAACTGGTTGTGATTTCGGATTCCTCGTCAGTTGTCCTTGGTATCGTTGTCTCATCAGTAATTAAATCAGTCGTGGTTTCTAATTCGTCATCAGTTGTGGTTGCAACCGTTGTTAACTTATCAGTAACTAAGCTAGTTGTGGATTCAAGTTCATGTTTAGTTGAATTTGGTACAGTTGTCTCATCAGTAACTAAGTTGGTTGTAGTTTCGGGTTCATGACCAGCTGTTGTAGGTACCGTTGTCTTATCAGTACTTGAATCAGTCGTGGTTTCTAATCTGTTATCAGTTATGGTACCTAAGCTGGTTGTGATTTCGGATTCCTGGTCAATTGCCCTTGGTACCGTTGTCTCATCAGTAATTAAATCAGTCGTGGTTTCTAATCCGTCATCAGTTGTTCGTGTAAATGTCGTTACCTTACCAGTAACTAAGTTGGTTGTGGTTTTATGCGCATGATCCGTTGTCCTGAGTACCGTTGTCTCATCAGTAATTAAATCAGTCGTGGTTTCTAATCCGTCATCAGTTGTTCGTGTAAAGGTCGTTACCTTACCAGTAACTAAGTTGGTTGTGGTTTTATGCGCATGATCCGTTGTCCTGAGTACCGTTGTCTCGTCAGTAATTGAATCAGCCGTGGTTTCTAATCCGGAATCAATAGTTTGTGCAACCGTTTTTATTTTATCAGTAATTAAGTTAGATGTGAATTCGGGTTCCTGGTCACTTGTCTTGGGTACCGTTGTCTCATCAGTAATTAAATTAGTCGTGGTTTCTAATCCATCATCAATTGTTTTTGGTACCGTTGTCTCATCAGTAACTAAGTTGATTGTGGTTTCGAGCTCATTATTAGTTGTCATTTGTACCGTTGTGTCATCAGTAATCATATCAGTCGTGGTGTCTAATCCAGAATCAATTGTTTGTGCAACTGTTGTCACTTTATCAGTATTTACGTTTGTTGTGGATTCGGGTTCCTGATCAGTTGTCTTGGGTACCGTTGACTCATCAGTAATTAAATTAGTGGTTTCTAATCCTAAATCCGTTGTCTGTGCAACCGTTGTTATTTTATCAGTAATTAAGTTGATTGTTGTTTCGGTGCCTTCATTAGTTATTGTTGTAGCCATATTATCAGTGTTTAAAATAGTTGTGGTTTCGAATTCAGGTTCAGTTAGTTTATTTCCCGTTGTAATAGTATCTGTTGTAAAATCATCAATAGCTAAATCAGTTGTGGTTTGGTGTTGGTCACTTGTTTGTGTAAGGGTTGTTAGAAGATCAGTAAATAATTCACTTTCTGTTATTGTTATATAAGTAGATAAATCAGTCATTACCTCGGATGTGTTATCCGTTGCTGTTGCAATATCTGTATAACCAGTAACTGCTCCAGTCATCGTTTCAAATGTAACACTTGTAAAAATATCAGTTTCTAAATTAGCCGTGGTATCGTGTTCATATAGTGTTTTTAAATTCGATGTTACCGTATTGGTAACTAAGTCAGTTGTAGTATCTGGTACGTAATCAGTTGTTTTTGCAACTGAAGTTACCATATCTGTAATTAAAACAGTTGATATGTCTGATTTATAAGTTATTTGTGCATTCGTTCTTTCAGCATCAGTTATCGTTTCATATTCGGTTATTTCCTCAGTTAATGTTATCATTTCTGTAAAGTTTATATTTTCTTTTTCATATACACTAGTGACTTCAGGTGTGGCGTCTGAAGTAAAATTCAGTGTTTGGTCCACCATTGGCTCCGTTTTATTGACATCAGTTGCAGAAGTGTTTTCTCCATTATCAGACACATGTGTAACAGTTGATCCAATATCAGTTCCCTGATTGTTTGATTTGTCAGTTGGTTCATTTGTAATTTCAGCATCAATCTCTGTTTCTAATAAGAAATATAACGTTTATAATAATAGCAAATTTAATTGTAGTCAATACATTAAACTAAACAAACATTTAAAATATGTAAAATATAGCCAATATCCAACAATAATGATAGACAGCTACATATGATAAAAGCAAGAGAGTTATTGAATACAACTCTTAATCCATATAGCTTAATTCGCCATTTTTAATCGATCTCTATCATGGGTAATTAATATTTTATAATTTTAATTTTTGAAATTATTGTCTACAGTAATCAAATCACATGAAAAAGAAAATAGAATGTGCTGTACATTATATATATATATATATATACATATATATATATATGTGTGTGTATATATAAAGATATATATATATATATATATATATAATCTAAGATTGATATGTACAGCAGTTATTGTACATACTGTCCATTGACGTGTGTTTCTATAACAGCAGTAGATTTTCAAATATGATTAAATACATATTTACACACTCAGATACACTAGATACACTCTGTGATTAACATGTTAGACTTAAACCAATAGAGCGCTTCAAGCCTCTAAACGTTTCACACATTATTACCTCAGTCACTGGACCAAACACATGGAATACATATTCAGCGCCCCTTGGAGAAAATTGACTTTTCAGCGAAGCCACGCCCCTTGGACTTTGTTGCTAAGGTCCCACAAAATGACAATGTTAAAACATACGCGAACACGTGTGTTTGTGGGACAAAAACACATGTGTTTGTGAGAAGCGGGAGTATTCCTGGCCCTATTCTGATTTGTGAGTTTGATTGACACTCCGGAGAGATCTATTCAGTAATGATTTGCGGTACCTAGCAATCAGTGCATTTTATGCCCACCTATTATGTTTGGGTAGCAGGAGACAACGTTAGGCTTTAGTAAAGTGCCTTTGCTCATAGATAGGCCGACAAGCAAAATGCATGAGGGATTGAGCCCTCCCGCAAATGTTGTGCCAATCCATTAAAAATCCTTACCTATTAGCATAGCGATCAGAATCCATGAAGTCATAAAGAGACTCCGCCAACAAAACATCTTCATCATCTTTCATTGTCTGTAGGCCTACATCAACAGAATTTTTATTCTGAAATAAAAAAATTAAAAAAAACCCCTATTCAATTTGTCATTGGTATTGATCATTATAAGTACCCTAATAATGTTAAACCGTATTACGGTTAAACCATAATTTTCAACAGATATGTTTGCAATAATTTATTATTATTTCTTAGAATACTAGTTATTAAAATACATTCAGTGTGGCGTGAAACCCATGCGCTCAATACCTTAAGGGGCTTCAAATATAAACTGGCACTTTCTTGCCCAAACCACGGTCTCCAAATCGACCGAGTGAGGCTCTGTTGAAACCACAAATGTGAAAACGCCCAATGTAAACAACCATAAACGTAATAACACAGCGCCCACATACGTAATAATGCTCACAAATGTAACAACCAGTGCCCACAAATGTAACAAACAGCGCCCACAGTACCGGTAATAACGATCAACGACCACAAAAGTGACAACACCCACAAATGTATTGTAACAACAAAAAATGACCTCTTCGCCCACAAATGTAACCATTTTCTTTTAATTTCGAATGTAGGAGCTAATACCCAAAAAACTGGCCAAACCGTGCAATTTGTGACAGACGTATGACACTTTCGGCGTTTAATTTATGAGGCGCGCTAACAGAGGGACAGCCCTTTTCTAATCGTCTGGGATTTAAGGTCAAATGACAATTTTTATTTCAAGTCATTATGCCCATTATGCATACTGCAAATATTTGTTCTATTTAAATGTGATGGAGAAGCTTACTAGATGTGACAGTTTTCAGGTTATTTCAGGTCAAAAAAGTCAAAAACTGAAAAAAACATGATATAATGTAATAGTAGGCTTACATGTTGAACATTTTTCCAAATCCCCCTAGTTCGTGGCATTCACTCAAATAAGCTCGAATATTTAAACTAGCCATCTTTTTTTTCAATAACCATAGTTATGAACGAAATGTCCAAATATGTTTAAAAACGTTTTGAGAACTTGACGAAAGAAGTGGATTATAGAAAGTACCTCAATTACATGCCCCTATAATATGCAAATTAGCTAATTATATACATTAGATGGTGGAAATATACTATATTTAACCTTTCAACCTTTAACCTTTAAAGGTTTTCACCCTTTCTGAGCTGGTGGCCAGTTTCAATCAGTTTGGAACCAGTGGTAGGTCGATATATACTTTGTGTTTTCATCAGGTTCAACAGGTTGACATTACCCCAAACCTACTCTCCTGATTTGCCGCTGGCGCCTCCAAAGCTAAACATCACATCATATAAACTCCCCATTAATCCCTTATCCTCCATCAATTTTCCCCTCTCCATAATAATACTCTACGCCACTAGGTACAGTGAGCTACATTCTTCAGTGGCGTATCCAGTGGGTACCCGGGGTGTCATGAGAACCCCCTTCAGAGGCTTGGAAAAATAAAAGGAATTACAGATTGGCAAAAATACTACAGTTTTGCTGTTCAGACAACAAAACACTCTTGATGTCTTATTAGAAAACTACTGTAGGTGATACTTTCGTACCTATGGATTAAAACACGGACAGGAGGACGCGTCATTACAGTCGATTTTTGTCTAACCACTACGCACAAAAGAGCCGCCGGTAAACAAACAATCGTCTACAATTAGTTCGGCACCACTCTCCGGTACCCCGTCAAGGAGAAAGCTGGAACGGAGCATCCCCTCCCCACCTAAAATTTTTGAAATTATAAAACAAATGGAGAAAAACATAAAATTATTTTGAAATTTCAGTTTTTAGTGATCGCATCCTTTTTATATATATATATATTTTTTTCTGCTTTTTTTTTTTTTGTAATTTTGAAAATTATTTGGAAATATATAACTTTACCTGGAATTAACGATGCGGACAAATTGGCTCTTCAAATGTTTTGAATACGTTGTTCATGCTTCAAAAACGAATATTATAATACCCCAATATGTTATAAACATAGATAGATATTATTAAAACCAGAATCCAGTTTGAAAATCGCTTGCAGGCCTCTTTGTATCGATTCGTTCTATAATAAGGTACGGTAAATCGTACCGGTACATCATACATTTCTTCTATATAATTAAATAATTAGTACATTTGATTAACTCAACAAGTCTTTTAGTGGGTTTACCTTTTATAATTACTGTATTTCCTATCAAACGAAATATGAACTCATCCCCTGATAAAGCCAACAAATGAACAATAAAATCATCAGTTTAATTGCTTAATTTTATTTTCTAGATTTAGTACGTTAGCTTTAAATCAAAAAATGAACGATTAAATTTATTGTATCCATATTTAGATAATTTGTATATTTGATTAATTTAGCAATTTTGTATAGTGTTTTTATCTATTATACTTAATTTTTACCAAAAAGCAAACGAACTCATCCCCTGATAAAGCCAACAAATCAACAATAAAATCATCACTTTAATTGCTTGATTCTTATTTTCTCGATTTAGTACGTTAGCTTTTAATCAAAATTGGAGCAATGAAATGTTTCTCACTATAATTGAAATACGCAAAATAATTGGTTGATACTTTATAAATAATTTTAGACTTAAATACAATCTATGACTTATTAAATCAGCACGTCTTTTACTGTTTTCATTTTTTTTTAATTTTCCGCAAATTACAAGATAGGAATGTCTTTCCTATTGTGCAGTGCCTGATTCAAGTGGGATCAACTGCACCTCCATCACCCCCCCCCCCCGATCTTTGTAAAGGAAAGAAAAAAATGATATTAGGCCTATATATACTTAGCACGTCTTTTATGGCTTATATTTTATTTTAAATTTTACACACACTTCTATCGTGCAGTGACAGATTCAATGAGACACAGTCGCTCCCACCCGAATTTGGGCCAACATTAAGAAATAACAAAATTATATTATTATACTCAGCAAACCTTTTGTGGTGTTTAATTTACTATTATTTTCCGCAAATTACATGATAACAATGTGTTACTATTGTGCAGTGGCGGATTAAAAGGAGCCCAACCACCCCCTAAATATTTTCACATTTTATGTCATTTTAATAGCATTTTAATTTAGTGCCATTTCCGAATATGGAGAGGTGCCATAATCATAATTTCCTTACCTCAGCAATAACCATGGTGGGGCTCAGGTGGTTTACACCCATAATCTGTGAATGTCCTCCCTGGGCCCTTTCTATATTAAATTCCTGAGTCCACCCCATATGACGATTACTTAGCTTAATCTTTTATCCAAGTGACAAATACCAGCTTTATGTATTAAATATTTCTGATGAGAATTCACAATATATAACTCGACTTGTAGTTTTTTTTTATGATTGATTTAGCGGATGGAATATAGATGATTACCAGTAATTCTGGTCATTTGATGATAGCACGGCTCACATCAATCTAATAATATTTAAAGTTCAAACTTAGGTCACAATTAAAAAGATTCTAGGGGACACAGTCGCAACCACATTAGGAAACTTTTCCGATGTTCATATAATCAATAACCATTTTCAATAAGCACTGTACAACTATAGCAAATTTTATTTGACAAAAAAACATGTGACATGCTCTAAATATATATATAGCCACATCATGACCATATATAGGCACACCATGACTATATATGGGCATACTACAGTTTTTCGTCAAATAAATTTGACGGTTTGGAGAGTACTTTAATCCAGCATAGTAGGGAGCATTGTATTCTTTACTGGAAAATAGGATTTAATAGCATAGAGTGATTAGTTTATTGACTTTATATAAGCTGATATAATGTTGAGATTTATTAATCCAGTTAATGCAATATTAAATATTGAGTTGACTGCTTGCGTCATTGTTGTGAAGATATCCATTAATATGTTTGATTGGCACGTGCGTGTGTATAACAAATGTAAATATAAAGATATTGACAAAATACAAGAGTAAGACTTGTTGTCTCACTTCAACAATGATACATACAACAATGACAATAACAATAATAATAATAATAATGATAATAATGATGATGATGATGATAATGATGATAATAAATAAATAAATAATAGCAATCTGATGCAATTGATGGCTTATCCCGGCAAATAATGTACTTTTTTTTTTAATTTTTTAAAAATATTAAACTAATGTCTTTAGAATAACCTTTATAATAAGCTTCCATAGATATTTAATTTTTGTAAGGAACGTAATTAGTTTGTAATAAGGCAGGAAATACATCCAACAGACATGCATTAATGTTTAAATAACATAAAACGAACGTTACACCGAATGATAATGAGGCTAAAATTCAACGTTTCGACCTCTATTGGGTCACCTTCAGGATTGAGAAAACGTTGGCATCGATTACCAAAGAATGCTACAATATGCACATGAAAGGATTAATAAGCTAGTACAACAATGGTGATTATGAGAGAAGCAATTTAGTAATAAGAATAAGAATAATAATAATGATAATAATGATATTAATAATAATAATAATAATAATAATAA